TAAATGATATAATATTTTTATTTTTTTTATTTATTTTGGTAAATATATTTTTTGAATTTATTGGTAAAATAGAAATATAGTTAACAAATTATATACAAATTATATTTTGAAATTTTCTTTTCTTGTTGTACTTTTCTTAATTCTATAGTATATATTTTTGAATTGTTGTACTATAATACTAATTATACTGACTATCCATTTTTATTTTATTTTTATTATCTTAAATTCTGCTTGTAAAAAAAGGAAATGGTTAAAAGATTTACTATATAAAATTCCTTTATGGTCAAAGCCAATGTTCTCTATCTCAATACATTGTGAAAATGAAGCTACATTAGCAAAAGTTTATAACCAAGTATTAATGAAAAGTCTAGACATATTAATCTAAGACATAATTATGTAAGTCAATTAATTGTCGATGGGGTGAGCACCATAGACTATGTAAAATCTAATAAAAATTTAGCAAATCCTTTAATAAAAGGATTAATAAGAGAAAAAGTATATAAAACATTTATAAAGATGGTTTCAAGTCCGTTAATAAAAGTCACACATGATAGAATCTTGACTTAACGCTTGATAAAAACTTTAAATCTTAAATTTAATGAGTGAAGTACATCATATGAATGTGACTGCAAGTACCCAATTTATAAATAATATCATCCCAAGTGGAAGAGTACTTGGTAACCATATGAAATAAAGAAGAGTTTAAGTTTTACTTTTAATAGGTCCTATAACAGATTTCTATTAAAGTGCTTAATGTGGTGGCACATTTGATAGGATTTACTTATATGAGTGAAAGTGATGCGGCTTGTAGGAGTTGGGGACTCGGCTCTAATAGTACTCATGAAAAGGATACAGGACACAAGACGCATGGCCAGTTTTTGTGTCGATGGATGTTAAATTCTTTTTTTGGAAAGCTTAAAGTCTTGTGTATGACATGTGCCCAATCAGTCAGTTAGAATCGCTGGTTCAAAGCATAAGTTTACCATGCAAATCTAACCAATTTGTCAACACATGTTCACTAAGTGAAAGGTTCAAATTATAAGATACCTTCATGCATATATAAGATTTCAAAACAATTGCTATGCTATTCTATTTTGAAAATTGTGGGGGAATGTTGAGGAATTTTCAAAATAGTTCTAGGATTTGAGTTTGAATCACAAAAGGTTGATTTGAAGCAATTGCACATGATTCATTTGAGAAAATATGATTTTGGTTCGAATCATATAAATATGATTTGAACTGTTTACGTAAAATCAGAATTCGTAAAGTTACAATTTTGTTTCGAACCACATTTATATGGTTCGAACTATTTACGTCAGAAATAAAAGATAGAATTCTAATAAAGTTCTAAAGAAAGAGTGGATAAATTTGGAATGCACAGAAACACGTGAGTTAGAATTCAAATCAAATTAAATGACTTTTGAAAGAGTTTCCAACAGATAAGTTTAACAAAAATTCAAAAATTTTTAGTTAATAAACTAAAAAGGAGTGTCTATTCCCAACAGACATCTTGCCCTATAAATATAGAGTTATCCCTTCTTCTTCCGCTCTTGAACATAGAAACAAATCCCTACTATCATCTATAAATAAAATAGTCCCTTTTTGTATTGCGATTGCTACAGAAATCCCTGTATAAAAACTATTGTTTTGTCGCTTTCCAAAGGACGATCAATGGTTGATCTTGCTAGTGCAAAGGCAAGATCAACAATGTACTTCATTATATCCTATGGGCATTTTGGTTTTCCTCTTTTGCATACCAGATCTGGTGGGAGCGAAATTAACCTAAAAGAAAGTGGCATTTGCAGCACACCAACTTCATCTATTGCAACGTTCATCCCTTCTGCCTTTTAATTATTGTAGTCCCCACTCTCTATACCCTTTAAAGCCTTAAACACCTCTACCATTGTTGGTCTCAGGTCCTTCCCACCTTGCAGGCACTGAAATGCCACCTCTGCCACTGCAGTTATCATTGTCTTCACCTTATGATCTGATTCATACCCAAGAGTTGGATCTACAAGTTCGTGTAGTGCTCGGTTTTGAATCTTGTCAATGGCCATGTTAGACAAGTTTATCTCATGGTGGTGCCTGGTGATGTCAACGGCTGGCTTGGATGATATTAGCTCAATCAAGACAACCCCAAAGCTAAATACATCACTCTTGTCTGTCAGCTTGCAGCATTCATGATATTCTGGATCCATATAACCAGGAGTCCCATGAGGAGAAGTAGAAATATGCGTAACAAGTTTTGGAAAGAAAAGAGAAATTCCAAAATCTGCAACTTTAACAGAAAAATTCTCATCAAGGAGAATGTTGTTGGTTTTCACATCACGGTGGATGATATCAGAAGCATGGAGGTAAGTCAATGCGCTTGCAGTCTCTATGGCAATCTTCAAACGAATGAGCCAAGGAAGTGAAGCACGTTTGGCACGTTCACCATGAAGATGGTCAGCAACGGTTCCATTGGAAATGAACTCATATACAAGCAAGAGTTCACGGCAGTGGCGAGAGGTGTAACCATAAAGTAATACAAGATGCCGGTGGCGCACCTGAGCTAGGATCCCAACTTCATTCCAGAATTGTTCCACTCTTTTGTAATTGTTTTCATGTAAGCGTTTGACTGCAACAGGTCGCCCATCTTGGAGTGTGCCTGGTTTAGGAAAAACAAGAGTAACAGGATTTTCATCAAACTGTCAACCTCTCTAACTAGTTATACTAGAACTGAAAAAGATCTATTGTTGAGTTCTCCCCTCACCATAATACACGGTGCCAAAGCCTCCATCACCTAGTTCCATGGCAGAATCAAATGTATTGGTAGCCTCTTCAAGTTCATTATAGGTGAAGTTATGCACTCCAGGGAAGTTACCTCCTTTCCCAGGATCAGTCAATGAAGCCGGAGCAGAGGATATCTCATTTGTAACTGAGGAAGATCGAGCATATTTGAGCACTCTTCTGTGCTGAAGGAAGAATTTGAACACAATGCATGTTGTTACTAGGCCTCCAAAAAAACCACAGCCAAGACCTGTGTGAATTAAGTGGAAATCGTAAGATGGTGACACTAAACATTTGTTTGATTTCAATAAGAAATCTGCACGCAAACGCCACATGAGTAAGAAACAGACAAACAAAAAGGATTATTGAGTCAAATTACCTATAGCAAGTTTCCATTTCCATCTATTATCATCAGCTGTGGAAGTAACAATAGAAAGTAATGAAGAGTTAGAAAATATAGAAATTAAAGGCAAATAATGGTTTAGGCAAATTGTGCAATCCAAAAGCTGCCATACTTCGAACTACATTCTTCCTTCAAAACTACATAATCTAAATTTTGTTGTAATTAACACTTTCAAGCATAGAGATATTTTGTTTGTAAAACTTGGCAGAAGCATAACTGCATGATAGATAATTTTCCTATTACATAAGATGGTGACACTAAACATTTGCTTGATTTCAACAAGAAATCTGCACTCAAATGCCACTAGTAAGAAACAGACAAACAAAAAAGATCATTGAGTCAAATTACCGACAGCAGGTTTCTGTTCACTTTATTATCATTACCTGTGGGTGTAACTATACAAAGTAAAGAAGAGTTAGAAAATATAGACATTAAAGACAAATAATGGTTTAGGCAAATTGTGCAATCCAAAAGTTGCCATACTTCAAGCTACATTCTTCCTTCAAAACGATATAATCTAAATTTTGTTTTAATTAATACTTTCAAGCATGGGGATATTTTGTCTGTAAAACATGGCAGAAGCATAACTATATGATAGATAATATTCCTATTACATTTCCATAACGAAAACCATGTGTTCTAAGATTGTGGAGCCCATAGATTCCAGGATTGTGACAAAGATTCAGTCAGCAACACAGAGATCATTTCAGATTTCAGAATAACACAAAGTTATAGTGACCGTATAAGAAAAAAGTACAAAATTGGATCTAAAAAACTTAATTTAGAATCATATGGGATGAATGCGTTGCCAAATGGTTAACTTGGTCCTCAAAAGCAAAAGTTGATAATACTCAGAAGCCATGCAATTGTGGAATGAACTGCAGTTCATATTTGAGGCATACAAGTTGCTAATCAAAAACTTCCAGGCAGAAAATATTTCATTTTCTCAGACTACCTAATGGCTCTGAGTTCAATATGTGGTTGTCAAAGCTACCACACACAACAAACTTATAATCACAGTGAAAGATCAACCAATATAATTGGAGAAAGCTAAAATTGAGTTAGTTAGGCAGAAAAAACTACAGAAAAAAAGTTGAATGAACAATTGGATAAAATTTTTTCTCTATGTAGTTACCATCATCGCAAGTTTTGGAATGAGGCTTATCTGGGCAAAAACAAATAAACTGATGGTCATCAAATCCACAGCGCCCACCACTGCTCTCACAATTGCTGCAACTATGTGCAGTCCAATTCAAATGGAAACCCATCTTCAAGATTTCAGAATAATTTGTTTTCACCAGACCAGTGAAATTACAGTTACTACCCATTCCCAATATTGGGGCATTAACAAAAGACTGGCATGACTTCAATGAGTAGTTCATGTACTCCAAAACATCTTTATCAAAAACAGCAAAAGAATGGAGGGAAGCGTTGCTAGCACAACTTACTGGATAATATGTAGGGTAAACTGGCTGCTTAGTGCAGTTATATAAGAAGGAAAAATTGAAATTATCAGAACTAAGACTGAATGGAGTTCGATGAAGAGTAAAATTTCGCACAGGAATTGGACATATTTCTTCATAGACCACAGCACTGACCACAAGCAATGAATTGTTGTTGTAGAATATATCTTTGATGATATAGTGATCTTCAGAAATGATAAGAACTGGGCTTTTGTCTTTGCAGGTGATCTCAAAGTTTGGCCAGCCACAAAATGAATCTTGTTCCTGAGAAATCCAAAAAGGATAGCTAACATTGGGGCCATTTCCGCATGATCGAGGCACACATGCCTCAAATTTTGCATCAAGGGACAGAGTTTCACTAGCTAGGGTGCTCAAAAAGATGATAACTATACATCTCTGAAGAAATTTTCTCAAAATGGAGCAGCTTTGTGGATCCATCCTCGGGGAAAGCAATGGAGGAAGCACAATACAGAGAAGAGACATGGAGACAAAATAGAAGGAAGCATTGGGACAAAAATTCCATGGTGGTTGGTATGACTTGGTTTTGTTTCCTTAAAATTCATCATTTTTGAAATCAAGACAAAGACAAAACAGAAGTTTAGAAGAAAAAGCAAGGATTGTTTACTATATCATTTTTTTTTTTTTTGTCTGGCTGGACTCCTATCAGATTCAAAACAATGATGCATTTCTGAACCATGCATCCATTAGCCAACAAACTACTATACAAGGTGTGGAGAAGTGCCTAACAACTAGACTTTGGAATGCATTTAGTGAGAACATTATAGAAACTGTAGATACTCCCAGAGAAATCATGACAAGAAAAAATGAAAAAAATAATTGTTTAGACTTTAAAACTAATGTGTTGATCCTCATATCAGACTCTAAAATTACATATTTTGTCCTCAGAGATAGCCATGGGACTGTTTTAGGTAGTGGGTTGAAGGTCTTAC